AGGTGTCAACCGAAACGGTTGGCAACCGTTCAGTGACCCTATCTACTACTAGTGCATTTATATTAAATTTAACATTACGATCTATCCGAGAATAAAATTTTAAATTAATATATCCCTGGGTAGCTTTACTAGTACCTCCGATGCCTTTAACTACAGGACATGAAAGTGACCTATTTATTACTAAGCCTAAGCGCTGACAACATTGTCGCGTTATAAAGCTATTTTGGGCTCTGCTGTCCAGCAGTGCACGGACGCTTTGTTCGTTCCCACGCGAATCCCTAACCAAAATACGCGCTGTACCCAGTAACACGGTTGAAGGAGGTTGTGCTCCCATATTTGCCAATGAGCACAGAGTGACATCACCAGGTCGACCGCTAGAATCGTTGACCTTAGTAGGGGTGAATTCCTTGTCCGCTTTACTTGACGCCGCTATGTTGCTATTTTCAAAATGTAATAGCGTGTGATGTTTCCTGGCGCACTTGCTACATACGGAACTCGAATTGCATTTTGCAACTAAATGCTTATCACTTAAGCAGTTCAGACATAGGTTGTTTGTCTTTACTAATTTATAACGTTCGCTTGGTGAATATTTACGAAAAGTCGCACAATTATATAAATTGCCGTGTTTATCTTTACATACGATACAAGTATGCTGAAGTGATGTTGACGTAGCGGTTACGTAAGTTAACGACCCTGCTATTTTAGATGGTTGAGTCTGTCTACGGTCGACGCACCTTTTAATCTCTTGTTTAACGTTCGGAGAGCGCTGCATCACCTTTATTTGATCTCGCACGAACGATGCTAATGAATGAAAGGAAGGCATCTCCGAGCTACGATGCTCCATTTCAAACGCACGCACGGTGTCGGGGTCTAATTTCTTTAGTGCAATATGGAGAAACACCACGTCCATAAGGTCATTAAATTTTAAATTCTTAAGTGCAGCCACCGATGCCACAAATTTATCTAGAAACTGCTCTAAGCCGTTGATGTTCGCGGATGATATAGGTTTAAGATCGAAAATCTGGTTCAAATATTCGGAAGCTAACATTCTCCTATCTTCATATTTAGTTTTAAGCGTTTCGAATATTAATAAGTAATTGTTTGCTGTAGGTGTAAAACCAGAGCAGATCGACTGTGCCCTGCCACTAAGTTTACTAATTAAGTAATATAATTTTTCAGCGTCCGATAACGATGGGTTATTGTGTATATTGTTTTGAAAACTACTGAAGAAAAAGGGCCAGGTCTTAATATCACCATTGAATACCGGAATATCTATTGGCGGCAACCTAATTGAGTCACGAGGACGTACCTGCAATTCCGGCTTTGCTTCGTTTTGAGATTGTAGGAGTTTTGCCGTTCTTTTCACGCGACACAACATATCTTCGAATGCCAGCAGCGGTTGGTAGTTCACTATGTATTTCGGGTCGATTTGTAATTCCAAATGATTAATTTGGTCTAATATTCTTTCGTAATCCGTCCGCAAAGAATCCACCGTTTCAATTTCATTCAGAAAAGTTTCCCGCACCGCTTCTACATTAATGTTCTTTATATGATCGCTAATGTTTTGTATACGTGAAAAAAGTACGTCCCTCTTGGCATAAAGCGTTTTAATTTTAAATTCACTTCCACTAACTGCCATTTTAAATTATTATAACAAAGTTATTAATCACAATTAATCTCACACGCATAAACGATGGACGATGGACGCTCGGTATGCCGTATTACGTAATTAAATCGAACACCTGCTACAGTCGAGGCGACACGTTGCTTGCTAACTCAATGTTTTTATAAAGATTGTCGGGTAATCGTACCAAACGGTTGCTATCACACTGTTTCAATTTTAAACCTTAAATTTAACCAAATACGAGCGCTATGAAATAAACAATTCTGTTTGCGAGTACCTAATCAAAATTTAAACGAACACTATTTACACTATTTACGAACACTAATTATTCGACCAGAAAATGGTTGGATAACCACTAAACACCAATCCAAATCCTGCCCGAAGTGACCATAAAATGGTGGAGCCACGTGTTTAAGGCTGCCGAAGTCTAGTTCCCCGGTCGAACCTTAAACCTATTGCGCGAATTATTAATCTAAGTGGACTGTATCTAATGCTGCTTCTACACTTGTATATGCGGTACAATGCACTCGCTCTTCCCAAAAAAACGAACTATTATGCCAAATCGATGAAAGGAATCCTGCTTGATTAGGAAAACACAAAATTGGAGCGGGTTAAAACTACTATATCAAGCAGGAAAATACTATTAGGAAAATGTTGACTCACCGGGATGTTTCTTCTGTGCGGTCGAGCACTATAACTGCGACTTCTGGAACACTCCGGAGAGAGGCGGTGCGCGACTATATCTCACACGAGGTGAGGCGGGCTTCCTGGAGCTCGACTGCTTCCAGGCTAAAGCGGTTTCTACTAATGATGTGTTTCCAACAACGAGCGCGGCGGGAAGAGCTCTTTAGGACACTATTATCCTAGGCGGTGTAGTTCTAACGGCGAGCGCGGCGGGAAGAGGCCACGCGTCGGTCGCGCGTGTCTTATATATCCTCGGCTCCGATGATTACGTGATGTTCTAGAATCATCTTCTTTCCCCTCCCACCCCACCACCCCGATGTGTCGATAGGAGGGTACGAATGATATCGTTTTGGAAAGGGATAACCGATTTGGCAGCCTACCGTCAAATAAAATAAATACGAATGGTTTTCCGCGCAACCAAAGTCTTTGAATTCACACGTAGATTAGTATATTTCAGTAAATACGAAAACTGTAACACTTCCTATTATTAAAATTAATTAATGACCGTTTTACATCTTATCTTATCGGATCTTTGGTTGAGAATTCAACAGTAAAATTATAATTATAGCCTTCGTTAGAAAAAAAAACAATTAAAATTAAGTCTAGAAAATTCTAAAGTTTTCATAATTTATAAAAAAAATAACATCAGTCATAATAATCAAGTTAGGTTCGTTTCCATGACCTAGTTAACACAATAATAAAAATAAATCCTTTAAAGTACATTCTATTCGTAAATTTTTTTATAAAAATAGGTATATCACTTATGATAAAAGTAAGTAGAAAATTAAATTCTAAACAATAATTAAATTCTGTATCAATGCTTAAAAAATTACAAAAGTTTTTTTTTAAATTATTTTAAACCCAATTTAAAAATTATTCAGTCTCATTACCGTCAGTACAGGAACTACGTTTAAAATTTTTATAAAAGTTATGATATCTGGGAGGTATCAGATTTTGATGGCAGAGGCTTATTAAGTCTTTGTGCTTGGCACTTGTAATCATGACGGGTTCATTATAACATTTTTTGGGATCATTAAAGCCACAGTGGGAACGAGTAGTTACTTTTCGCACCAATTCAATTCGCTTAAGTTCTTCGTCATTTAGATCATATTTATAAAATATTGTGTAAGGATTCTCTGCTTTAACGACTATTTCTCGAACTTGATTCCACTTAACATTCTCATTGTCAGTATTTTTTGTCAATTTAAAATCATATAAAAATATTTTGAAATCCAAAATTTGGTCTTGTGTTATTTCTATAACCTCATAAGCATCGCCGGACGTTTTACACCACCGAACGAGTGTATACCATTCTTCAGGACAAAAAATGAATTTTCTCTTCGACGATTTCTCAATTAATGCGTGGACACTATCGCCTCCTTGCTGGTTGTGACCCTTCTCCAAAAATCTGTGATGAATATCAATGCTATACTTTTGAAAGCAGTATACATACATCAGAAATACAATACGGTTCCTGTTCTGACCGCCACAGTTATCGGACCACAGGCGGATATCTTTGATGCATCTATTAGTTGACTGTTGTATAAAATTATAAAGGCAACTAGCCACTTCGTTCGAACCCCGCTTAGCTATAGTTTCAGGCCACATATAACATATTCCTTTTTTAAGTCCCATATCAAAAACAGTTAAATTAAAGACAGGAAGTTTACGCTTATAATAAAATGAACTGGTTTCTCCATGTGGTGTCGACAAATTGTTTTGAAAATCAAAGGTAGCCGAAGTTACAGTTTCAGGATTAGAAGTAGTTTCATTTATGTCTTGTTTCTTCAAAGATCTCGCTATATTTTTATCTTGTATATGTTTATTGTACTGATCTTGTGCTCTGGTTTGTGAAGGAAGGCAATTTTTAAATGCTATACACACGTCGCACTGGTCTTTTTTAGGAATATAAAAGGCTATGTTCATTTCCTTGTTAACTATGTCTCGGTACTGGCGCGCTGTGTGTACCCTCTTCACAATACTATTTTCCTCTGCCCATGTCTGGTACAACTTAAACATCGTGGAGAAATTTAAATCAGCCAAGTAAACTTTGTTTGTGTCTTTTCTTGTGTAATGTGAGTCCACTGGTTGAAACTAGTTTACATGATCACACACACCTTTCATTATGGCGGCTGTACAAACCTTGTTTTTATTGTTATGACGACCTCTGAAGTCTTTTTCACAGTTACCAGTACTTTTATCATATTTATCAAGAGCACTGTATAAACTGATTACTTACCGACAGCATATTCTTAAACATTGTTTTGCATACTTTTACAGTTCTAGGGCTAGTTTCTTTTAAATTTATTGGAAGTGTATAGTTTACACTGTGTTGGCGTTTAGAATCATTCTCTGTAGTAATTCTTCGTTTCATACATTTTGTATATTTACCTATAAAAACCCATTGCTTTTCGTGATCACTGAGATTCCAAAAACGATCAAAGATAAGTTTTCTATCTTCGTGAGATATTTTTGCGCTACAGTTAATCTTGCAAATAACACATGCCGGCTTAAGATGTTTCGCAGGTTGCAATTTTCCATTTCCGGACTGATGTTTACCTGAATTTAATAGTAATTTACGTCTTGTATCAATCCACTTGTCTTTATTTCTCAATCGCCTTTTCTTTGATCTATCCATACTGAACTGACGTCTTTTTCTACCGTCTTATGACGAAGGTGTAGAACATTCACTTTATGCCTCCACCGCCGAAGAAGCATCACTAGTGTTGCTTATAGAAGATTGACAGTTTGAAATTAGTAACATACGCGATGGCCTGCCTGAGTTTGTTAAACAGATATTTTGATCTAATTCTGATAATGGACGCGGACTTGAAGTAAATGAGTTGTATACTGAGGGCGTTGGTGTATCCGATAATTTGCTCGGAGAATCTCTATTATCAACATAAACATTTTCTGAATTAATTTGTATTTCAGATTGAGAGTGAACTGGTGTGACCGACCTAGAGTACACAGAACATGGGAACTTATCTTGCGAAGTTAACTGATACTCATTTGTCTTCATCGCTGACACATCAAGGTCTTCTATAAGATGTTCAATAACTTCATCGGCCAACACAGCATTTTTGTCGAAAAATCCATCGCTTATTTTCTGTAAGCTTTCATCTTCTTTAAAAGATCGTTTCGGACTTTCTGAACATGAAACAATAGTAAAAAATAACAGTAAGAAAATAAAATTTAATTATAAGTCAATTAATATATATAGCTAACAATAAGAATTAACATAGGTTGGTACTCATAAACATAACAAACAATACTAATTTACAAAAGTAAATTGAGACCTCTACATCACAATCGCAACGTAGAAAAATTTATATGGCAGATAGCCGCTTATGCGTCGTTTCGTAAAAAAAAATATCAATGATAACCTATTTTCATAACTACAAAAACTAATTATGATTTAACTTCAAAATAAGAATAACATTAAATTTGTATTATAAAAAATACGTACCAGAACTAGTTTCACGGTTGTTATCGATAAGTTGTAATAGATCTTCTCGGTTCATAATATCGCATTGTCGTCCCGTTTTGCCCAAATTCACCAATAATTTACGTCTTTCCATGTCTTTTGTGTTGAACTCAAACTGTTTACTAATATGATAACACTTTTACACACACTATAACACTTAACAAACCAAAACAAACAAATATTCGTGCCGGCCGGCACATGTCATGTGACTGATGACGCAATATGACTGACCGCTGGCCCCCCGCGCGTCCCGCGTATAAACGGTCAGCGGTAGTTGTCCGCATCTACATCGTGCAATTTCACAAAACAGGCGTAGTTGTCTTCTTTTACGTGACAAAAGTACCAAAAATAAGGTGATATTTTTGTTTGTTTTGCTATGTTGTAGAACATGATATTTTAAGTTAGTTTTTACAAAAAACCAAAAATCTCAAAATTGCAGTTAACATTTTTTACTTTGCACCCGTTGATACACACACACACACACACACACACGTATATATATAATCGGAATCTCGGAAACGGCTCCAACGATTTGCATAAATATTAGTGTCCAGGGGGTTTCGGGGGCAACAAATCGATCTAGGTAGGATTCATTTTTAAAAATGTCGTTTTGTCCATGTTTTCAGGCAATGAAAGACTGCTACAATATAAGAAGGTAAATTTTGACGGAGTAATAATGATCATAATAGCTCAAAAGGGATATCGGACAGTCCCGAAATCATAGTACCCAAGTTAGAGTCCTGTCTTCGGTTCAAACTTTTCCTTTTTTTTTAAAGTTCCCTTCTTTTGTGAGAAAATCTATTATCTCGAGTCCTTTTTTTAGTATTTTTTTAAAAACATGATAATTTAAATTAAACTAAGCGCACTCATGATTTTTATTCAAATAACCAGTTCAGTTTTGGCTATTATGTCAGTAAGATCAAAAAATATTCATATTTCATCAGTATGTCATTTGTATCTAAATATAATTTCCAAAACACATGATTTTCAAAAAAAAAAAAAATACCGAGCAAAGCTCGGTCATTCAGGTACTATTTATTGTGTGAGAAACGAGCCAAGAGCAAGTCTTATCCGACACTATTCCGGATGTCAGTCTGAGCGAGATTATAATGGCTCTCCAGCACCTTAAAAACGGCAAGTCCCGGGGTGAGGATTGAATCACAGCGGACCTTCTGAAAGCGAGTGGAAAACCGCGCAGAAGTTCTATAATTCCGTCCTCAATGGTGGTCTTTGTTCTTCAAGAAAGGCTCTGCTCTCTTGAAGAACTAGAGACCGATTTTTCTTCTGAGCCGCATCTACCTGCTGTTTTCAAGAGTCATGACGAATTGTCTCGCACGCAGACTCAACGACTTGCTTTGTATTGCGCATGTGGACTACAAGAAAGCCTTTGATTCCGTGGAAATTTGCGCGGTGCTGCAGTCCCTTCAGCGGTGCCAAGTTGACTGTCATTAGATCAGAGTGCTGAAGTGCTTGTACGGTAGGGCTATACAAAACCAGACTACGAAACCTATCCAACTGCAGAGAGGTGTAAGACAGCGTGACGTTATATCCCCGAAACTTCACTGTTGCATTAGAAGACGTTTTCATGCTACTGGACTGGAAAGGATACGGTACTAACGTCAATGGCGTCAAAAGCTTCAGCGTTACCAGAGATTAGCTTGTATGGCTGCCACGGACTGCATAAGGACTGCACCAACAGCAGCTTTGGAGGCTATGCTGGAGCTAACACCGCTTCATCTACATATACAACAAGAAGCAACTTTAGCTGCCATTAGATTCAAGACCCTAAATCTTTTAAGTAAGAGTAGAGTCCCCCATACAGATATAATCGATAGAATTTACTCAAAAATTCCTATCTTACAAGCCAAGTATGATAGGATCCCAAAACAATTTGTATTCGATAAGAAGTACAGGACACAATTGAAGGAAACTGACCATCTGGAAGGATTGGGTCCAAGAGAGCTCAAAGTTTTCACGGATGGCTCTAAGACAAATGAAGGTGTGGGGTCTGGGGCTTTCTCTGAAGACCTTAATATCCACATATGTACACCGCTGGGTACCCACAACACAGTCTTCCAGGCTGAATGCATCTGGGTATCATCCAAGCGGCCATAGCAATAGATGCTAGGAAGGTGAAAGACTTCTCCATCAGAATACTGACCGACAGTATGGCGGTACTACAAGCTCTGAGTTGCAATGTGACGAACTCGGGACTGATATACGAGTGCCATCAACGATTGAATGAGGTATGTAAGCACAACAATGTGACTCTGCAATGGATCAAGGGACACAGTGGATCTAGAGGCAACGATGCAGCAGATGAACTGGCCAGAAGGGGATCGGCTCCAGCAACTATAGGGCCGGAACCAATAATACCAATCCCCTTTGGCTACGTTCGTTCACTGGTACGTAGATACTTCAATAATTTACACGCTCAGCTTTGGAAAAATTTTGTAGACTGTAGACAAGCTAGGGAGGCCCTACCTGAAATAAACAGTCGTCTAACCAAGGTTCTAATGAGACTGGACAAGCCACAGATCAGGATAGTAACAATTGCTATCACAGGACATGGCTCTTTTAACAAACATTTGTTCACCATAGGTGTAGAGGAAGAAACGGCGGCTCACGTGTTGCTGACACATCCAGAAGTCGTTTCATATAGGGCTAAACATCTCGGCACGCCGGGATTGCTCCCCGAAGTTGCTTGCAACATCAAGGGACTGCTGAGCTTCTTCGGGGTAATATCATGGCTCGAATAAGCATATTATTCCTGCCCACACGCAAAATACGCGCTTAGACGTGGAGTTGCGGAAAACAGCCCGTCGTAAACTAAACTAACGTCAATGGCGAGTAGATCACTCACTTTCGAATTGCCGATGATGTATCGCTTATGGCAAAATCGCTGGAGGACCTAAGCACTATGCTCAATGACCTCAATAGTGTCTCCCAACGGATAGGTCTTAAGATGAACATGGACAAAACGAAAGTCATGTGTAATGTCTATGTCACACCTAAGTCGGTGGTTGTTGGGAGCACTAAGCTCAAAGTTGTTGACGAATATGTTTACCTGGGACAATTAGTCCGACTAGGTAAGTCCAACTTCTGCCGAGAGGTCAAACGACGGGTTCAAATCGGCTGGGCAGCATTCGGGAGATTGCGACACATCTTCTCGTCAGGCATACCTCAAAATCTTAAAACTCGATTGTACAACTAGTGCGTGTTGCCAGTGATGACCTATGGATCGGAGATGTGGTCCTTCACTGCTGGTCGTATGAGAAAGCTAAAAGTCGCTCAGCGAGCTATGGAGAGGGCTATGCTCGGGGTTTCTCTGCGTGATAAACTTAGAAATGAGGATATCCGCAGTAGAACCAGAGTAGCTGACATAGCCCAACGGATTAGTAAGCTGAAGTAGCAATGGGCCGGCCATATAAATGAAATGAAGTGAAATGAAGATTTATTTGCTTTGAAAAAGGTTACATTAAGGTGGTTATTACAAAGTATAGTACAGCTTTTTCAGCCATCAATGGATAGCATGCAAATACATTTTTTATTATTAAGATTATTTAGTGTTTTATTAAAATAGCGAATTTAATTAAAATATATCATAAAATAGTCATCATTTAGAAATTATCAATACATAATACCAATACATACAAATTTAAAAATAATTAAAATTGAAAATGCAATTAAAAATATATAACTACTGTTGTGTCACATCATGTCAAATTTAGGTAGTCATTCACATTATAAAAACAATGATCATTTAGCCACCTGTAAAGGGCGCCTTTAAATCTATTAAGGGGCAAGTCTTTGATATGTCGGGGTATTTTATTAAATATGAGCATACACATCCAGAAGCAATTTTTTTTAAACCGAGCACTCTTGGGTATAATTTCAGCAGCAAGTCTATTGCCATTTCTGGTATTTTGCGTATAAACCTCTTTTGCTTGTCTGAAATAATACATGTTTTGTTTTACAAATTTTGCAATTTCAAAAATGTACAGGCATGGGAGTGGTAGTATTTTTAGAGATACAAATAGCGGCCTGCAAGGCTCATCAGGTGCAGCGCCACATATTGCTCTAATACATTTTTTTTGGGCAATGAATGCCTTTTTTGCATCTGTGCTATTGCCCCATATAATAAGCCCGTATCGCAGTACGGATTCCACATATGCAAAGTACGCAGTAAGTGCTGTATTTTTTGTGGCTACTTTGCTTAGTTTATAAAGTGCGTACGAAAATCTATTTACTTTTTTTACATACATGTTCAACTTGACATTTCCAATTTAGTTTTTGATCAATCCATATACCTAGGAATTTTGTCATATTTGTACTTTTTAGTGTTTGTCCTTCAAAATTAATGTTCATTGTCTGGTATAATATGTCATTGAAATTTATAAAATAAGTTTTGTCAAGATTTACAAGTAGGTTGTTATTTTTAAGCCATTCTATTATTGTTTTTACAGTACTGTTAATATCATTAATGTGATCTTTAAGTGATTGTTTACCATCTGTTTTTACTATTACAGATATGTCGTCAGCAAATAAAATGCATTTGTGTTTAGTTACATCCGGAAGATTATTTATATATACTAAGAACAACAGTGGTCCCAAAACGCTACCCTGTGGAACTCCATATTTGTTTTCTTTAAAATCTGATTTGTGATTTAGGACCACATGATTACTGTCTGGTTTGCTTATTTCAACAGATTGACGTCTATTTTGCAAGTAACTTTTAATCCAACTTAAAGCAGTGCCTCTAATGCCACATTTTTCCAATTTTACCAGTAATGAATTATGTGAGACAAAATCGAAAGCCTTCGACATGTCAAAGAAGAGTGCAGTTGTATAATTATTAGCATTAAGGCACGTTAGTGTCTCATTTACCATATCGAAAACAGCATGTGTAGTAGATTTTCCCCTCTGGAACCCATACTGAGTGGGATTCAGGACATGATACTTGTCAAAGATATAGCTCGAAGAATCGACAACCGATGGGGAGACAGGGTTCTCGAGTGGCAGCCTCGTACCGGTAGGCGATGTGTGGGGCGGCCCCCCACTAGATGGAGTGATGAATTGTTCAGACATGCAGGAATGGATTGAGGTGGCTCAGGAACGTGCTTCTGGCATTCTTTGGAGAAGGCCTGTACATTGTGGTAAAAATTTTAGCGTACCTAATTTTTAAACTTTGCACCTTATTAGCACCTAAAAAGCCCCAACTTTGGATTTTTCTAAATGAAAATTCCTGACTGCGTTTGTGGCGAGCCTGAGCTAAATGATACACCTGCACATGCCTCAGTCGAATATTGAACTGTGACAAGATTAAAAAGACGGATGCGTCAATCATAAATATTAAGATTTCAAACGTTTCACATTTCTTGCAAAAAATGATTGTCGCATGACGCGACTATTGCCTCAATAATTGTTTTGCCATTTGCCGACAGTTCTGTAGTAATAGTGACAATCGCTTCAATTGTATAAAATAAAAGATCATTGATTAAAACTACTTTTACGGATTTTTAAAATAAAAAGTTATTAAAAGAAAAATTAAATGCGATATTTAATTTTTCTTTTAATTACTTTTATTTTTAATTCCCGACGTTTCGGGCGCTTTCCAGCACCCATGGTCACGGGAGACTGAGGTGACTGACGTCCCGATGTCATTGTTAAACCTGGAGTACCTTCAGCTTTTTTAATTATTGTTTATGGTCCGATCTTTGCAAAATGAACTGAAGTCCTGAGGTCTTGCAGTGGTATGCTTGGGTCTAGTTTTAATTTTATTGATTATAGGGTCCAAGCAGGTAGTAGTACCAGCCTCCTTCTCTATTGAAATTAGGATGTTTTTTAATTTCAATAGCCTCACCAAGTATCATGGTAGGAATCGGTGTTGAAACATTATTTGCACTGTAAGAATCATTGTTTAAACACCGATTCCTACAAGATCCGTAAAAGTAGTTAATGTGTACTGGTCGCGTAAATATAAGAAATCATTAAATAAAAGATCATTATTCGCATCTATGAGTGTTATTCATGTAGATATTGACAATCATAGTTGACCGTTTCGGGGCCCCTTTACATTACACATTACGAATTGGAATAAGAAAAGGAAAAAGAACTTTTTAAATTGTAAAATTATATATGGCCGGGCTAGTTGTAATATAATAAAAAAAAAAAAAATTTTCTCGCTAATTTTTTTTAACTTTCTGTTCTAATTTCAGGCTTGCCATATCATTTGTATCTTGTACCTATGGATTGGGATACTTATGTATTATTGCACTGGTATTGATACGACAGCTATTTGTATATATTCCAAAATTTATAGGTAGGTTGTAATTACTTACAATTTAATAATGGATACAACCTTCTTCAAGCCTTAGTTTTATTTGTTATTGTATTATATTGTATTATGCTTTTAAAATTTGGATATTAAGTTATAGGTACTTAACGTCCAAATTTTAACAACAATATAAACTTATTTAGTTTTTATGGTTTTCGATAATAAACATGCTTTTTACATGTGTTTTGTGTTTTCAGCACCTGACTTGAGAAAATTGGTGAATATTGATGTCTGATTTACTTTACAAAATGAAAGAAAGTAAATTGTGTTTCATGACAAGAGAACAATGCCATAAAAAATATAATTGGTAGGAGTACATAATGTTCAAAATCATTCAAAACTTAGTTTACTATATAAATTATCTTCGCGCATTTTAACGAATCAACCAATCCTTGTTTGTAACAATTTAAATTACGTAAAATGTAGCCAGCATCAAACTGGATTAATAGGTGATCCATTACCTACCCTACCAACAGAAGAGTTCTGCAAGTTCTTTCAAGCACTTTCGTCTAAGCTTATCTGAGCCGTGTTGTAGCAAATATTGAGGAAACCGGACTGAAATCATTTTGACCTAAACATAACATCCGCATCAATCATCTAAGATTGGCCGTTGACATGATTTCTTTAAGAAAATTCAAAACTGTAGGAACGTTTGTTACAAAATCTAGCAAAAAGAAGCGGCTAAGTAGGACTAAATACAAAGCAATAAAGTTTGGAAAATTCAAAAGTGCACGCCTCATAATCTTATTTGATGATATAAAAAGAAAAATATCTCTTTTTCCGTATTTGAGACGAAAGAAGAGATCCATAAGAATATCTGTTTGTAGAAAAGTACCAGTTGTTTTTTACATTTTCATTAATTACAATCAAACGAGACCAAATTGCTCAGTGATTTTTAAAAGAACCTGTGCGTTGAGATTCTAAACCTAATAAAAAAAGAATTATTTTGATACATTAATTCTAACGACCGTAATCGTGCGCCATCCACACAAACAGACATCCGGACACCATCGGAATTTTTTTTAATCAGTTTGTTTTTACACTAAATACAGAAAATTACTTTTAAAAGTGGTAGAAATATGAAAACGAGTGATTTTTCTCGATATATGTGTATTTTTATTATTCCAAAAGTGCAATAGTATATATATAGTATAATAATTTTTAGCTCAGAAAATTACTGGATTCTATTAGGTGAGAGTAGAGCATAACCTCAACGCTTCGCTTATGAGGCGTGCAAAATGAACTCAAGCAAAACGAAAACGATCACAAATTGAAACGAACTAAACATATATGATAATTGACAGGAACTTGAGTAAAAGAGTAAGCCAAATAATATCTCTCAAAGACCATATGATAATATATTTTAAAAGCATAGTCTCTATCAAAAGAAAATACTGGTCTTTGAAAGAAATTATGAGAAGCAGATTTTAGCAACAAAATAAAAAAAGAAATGAGACTTGGACCCTCACGGAACACCATAGATGCAAACTTAAAATATTAATGTGAAAGAGCTATGGAGAGTAATTAAAGGATAAAGTTCGAAAAACCGACATTAGACAACATTCTGTTCTGCCCAAATAAATACTTTAAAGCATAATGATCAGTTAAAATGTAGGTGGACTGGCTACACGTTTCGCTGCAACAAAGAAAAGTAGAGGAAACAGGTGACACTGGTATGTCCAAGAGATGCTATCAGAAGCAGAGTTCGGCTAACTAGAAGATGGGTAGACAAATTTAGGGTTACTCTGGAATGGATTTGGACAAGAGTTACAGCTGACGGAGATCAATGGAAGAAGTTGGAGGTGGCTTTTACTGAAAGGCACACAAAAGTACTAAAACTCAGCTACGACAAAGAAGGGGGTCTTATATTTTTAACTTTTATTTATTTTATTGATGGGGATCGGAGGGAACCTGTTGTTTTACTTTGAGAAATTCAAGAGATATAATTTTTATAGATCATTTTTAAGGTAATCATCTAGTGATATAGGTGCATAATATGTGAATTCAGAATGTACTCATGTTAAATAGGTACCGAACACGATTTATCTATATTTAAATTTTTTATTTAATTTGCTTATAACTTTAGGCATCGTTTGATCCCTAGCCGCACCGTTATTACTTAACATTCAGTTATGAAATAATTAATATTTAAGATATTTAAGGATTCACTTTATAAATCGTACACTTTAGACAAAAAGTTGTTTGATGAATTTACGATCCTCTTAAAATTTATATTTTACTAGTTTCAAGTTTCAAACGAATCGCTACTAATCTACTTAACTTTATACTCCCTATGTTTTATGCTTCTCTGATCTCTTAAGTCACAGCCGAACTAAAGTGTTTGATAATTTGATGTCATAATTAACGTAGGAAGTTGTTGTAATGTTCCAACGTTCAGATATCTAAATTTTGTCGTGTCTCCACTTTCAAGGTCTCCAGAGTCCAGTGGTAAAGTCTTTGACAGGAGGTCTCTGTATGCGTGTTTGTACATATGAACGTTTGTGGTTAATATTCGTCTCGGTCGCATATCTCCACTTCAGACCCATTTCATTCGTTAAACAATGATGTAATTAGTGTATAGGAACAATAGCCACCTTAACCTCCTGGATGCCAGCGTCATACCTATATTACATAAAGGATTAAACATTCGTTTTAAAGCTATATGTGAATAGTTTTCGGAACTAATCGTTTTATGGTAGTTGTGTTACTTTAGTAAACTAGAAACACGGAACAAACGTCATTTTGAGTTAGACAGACCCGTAAATAACTCTCTCTTTAAGGCGCCATGAGGAAGATGGCATGTCGCACAGATGAACGTGCTACGTTATCCGAAAATTATTATTGTTTCTTTTTATTTGTCACAATAACTATGTTTGTTTAAAACTAATAAGCGGATTGTTTTTTTCAAATGGTCAATTATTTTGGGCTTTAAGACCAGAAACTTTTTAATGTCATATTGGTATTACAATGATTCTCAGTATGACAGTTAGCTTATTATTCATGTCACATATATATATAGTCTTATGCGATGACGAATATTTATTACACCTCGAAGAATCAGACATGGATTTCTCTGATGCTGATGAAAATGAATTTTACACCAGGACCTGAAGAAAATGAAAAATCCAGTACTTCATCTTCCAGCTCTTCAGATGAGTAAATAGTTTCACAATCAGACGTATCTCTGCAATCTTCTGTAATAAAGGAGAAAAGGAGTCGAGGGGGGAACTACAGATACCCAGGAACAATCACATCAAACAGCAGTTACAGTTAGAACGTCTATCGCCGACTCATAGAATGGTCAGTTTGAACCTTTAAAATTCCAGTTTTACTAACCCAGTTACTTAAAAGTTGAGACTGAGTCATGGAAACGTGAAGATTATTTTACACAATATATCAATGATGATATACTGGAAGAAATGACAACTACTACAAATAGAACCAGTATACTAAGAAAAGGCTACACCTTGGGTCTAACAGTCAAAGAACTGAGTCTTTTTCGGTATTTGGAACGTTAGTTCTTCTAACTAATTACCAAATATAGCATTATTCTGGTCTAATAAATACGGTATTTATGTTATAATAATGGCTATGATACAAAATAAATATATTATTATAAGAACTAAAAACTAAGATATGGAAGGCAAATCCACTTTTTCAGTCTGTCTTGTGAGGGTTTCACGCACAAGAAATACTTATTGAATTAAGCATTGATGATGATGATGAGTGCCGTTTAGCGGTCAGTGTGAAATACGGCAATATTGTCCAGGAAAGTCCAACAATGTTGTCCTGAAATTTTTTATATTGGCAACTCCACAAGGCATTCTCTTAGACATGCCTCCATACTAAGTAAATACTACTTGTCCTGAGTTGACTGAAGAAGGGTATATATACTCTTGGTGAAGTCTATTTTCAGAAAACGCTTGTGAGAGGTCACCACATTTATTTTGATAGGTACCTCATCACGGTGAAATTAGCCTAGATATTGCTACAATTTTTTTTACCCAACAGCCATTATACAAAACATAGGATTCCGAAAAGTTATTTTGCATACCAAAATTATTATTAATTACTGGAATTTTTATTTGGAGTTGAATTCCAGTGTCATACACATATGACGTAAGTACGAACGAACTGTAGTATATTCAGAACCATTGTCATATATATATATATATATATATATATATATATATATATATATATATATATATATATTTTTTTTGACATAAGTAAAAGCTATATAAAATAAATAATAATTTTTATTGCATTTTTTTTGGACATGTACAGATCCCTGATATACCATAAAACCTAGGTTTTAAATAATATTGAATAATTTTTTTCTGGAATCCATGATGTTAAAAGATATTTAAACTGTGAAAGTGAAACAGTTGCTGGTTACCGCGTTACTTTGCACCCACCACATATATGTAGCACATAATACGGCTAATATAATTTAATTAACTTCTACTCTAATCTTAATTGTGATGAGTGCAAGCATAATGTGCATGTTAATTTTATACTTTGTAACAAAAACGGAGGATATAACGGCGCAGCGTGTTTTCCTATATATAAAACCTATCTTGCGAGTTATATAATAATATGATAATTTCGATTGTTTAACTTTGAACTATCATGTTTATTTTCTAGACAGGGAAACTGTTACAATACCTAATTATTTTTTAACCTACAAGTACTTATGTCCAGTTTGAATTTTATGATGTTAAGAATGAGCACTTTTTCACGTCTGTGAAATACCACTGACTCACACATCACAAGATCTCCAAAACGTTCAATTTGCTTGAAATTTGGCATATGTGTATGTATATGCCTATATACATACTCATTTCATGTATATATTACATACTTATTTCTCGACGTAGACACCAACTAAGAAAGGATTTGGGAAAATGCAACCCCTGAGGGGGTGAAATAGGGTGTTACAGCTTGTTATAAAATAATAGATAGTATGTATAAATACTGTATATTTCACTTTATGTCTTGTAAACATCTGGATCTAGTCTCGTATGTTTAATCTTTTTATACATTGTAAAACATAGCAGTTCATCTTTTTTTGCAAGGTGTCTATTAATTTTTAAAATAAATTCCATATTATTTTGCAACAATGAATGGTAAGTCCAAGTTGGACGAGTTTAATTACAGCCTACAGCTTTATATTATTTATAAGTTAAAATTGTACAAAAAGCAAAAAATGAAAGGTGGTAAAATTGCATTAAG